TGTGTCTCCACGCGGTAGCAGATTCCAGCAGACAAATTAGCAACTCGCATCAACCCAATGTTTGTATTCCCCACTCGGTCGTGTCGCCGCACCCTTCTTTCCTCGAAACGGTTTTGGTGCGTATTTATGTGTTTGCGATCCCCCCACACTGAAACGTTCCTCTTCTCATCCACTTCAGAGTCAATGGTGCAGATCACCAAACAAACCACAGATCACTGAGAACGTGAAGCATGCGATGAAAGCACACTCGGGTGTGTATCACAAAGCATGCGGTTAAATTCATCAAACACATCCATATCTAATTAGGAGCCTCATACATAGACACTGTCGAGTGCAGAGAAAGGCTGATCCACAATTCAGCACAACATGCACACACACCAACACACTAATCATCCACATGGGTGAGAGATTAATGGACAGTTATTCTGCAAGCAGATGTGTAATTATGCCACTTACTCACTCAGCAAACACAGCAGAAAAACAGGCTCCACTTCCAGTAAGTTCCTATGTAAGGGGCCGGGGTTTCTGTCAGACACTTCGAAAATAATAATCCAAATTTATAGGAATAATACATGGTGGAGTAAATGAATGACACACTATAAAAATGCCATGCTGTAACCATGGCTTCTTGGATGAAATTACGGTAATAAATACAGGCAAAGAAAAACAGGCACCAGTTTCACTGCTCTTCCTTTAAGTGAAAGTGCACCCCAAAAAAATTCTGTCATCATTTATTCACCCTCATTCCAAATCTTTCCTATGTGGGACATAAATACTGTTTATATAATGAAAGTCAATGGGGTCTTGTTGACTTCACATTCATTGTGTGGACAAAAACAGTTCTTCAAAACATCTTCTTTTGTGTCCCAAAGATGAACCAAAATCACAATCGTCTGGAATGACATTAGGGTGAGTAAACAATAACAGAATTTCTTTTTAGTGATTCATAACCAGGCCAAATGGGGGGCATCAGCAAAATTCCTAGGGAGCCACAGGATGACATCTGATTATATTAAAAATTAATTTAAAAATCACACACAAAAAATTAGATTTAAAAAAAAAAAAAAATGAAATCTTGGGCCTAAATTATCTTAAAGGGGTCATATGATGCTTTTTTAAAGATCATTATGTTGTGTATTTGGTGTAACAGAATATGTTGACATGCTTTAATGTTCAAAAAACACATTATTTTTCAAATACTGTACATTATTGTAAGTCCTCTATGCCCCGCCTCTCTCAAACGCTTCGTTTTCTACAAAGTCCCGCCTTCCGACAAGCGCAGTCTGCAAGCACGCGTCGGAAATGTAAAGCCCCTTTTGAGACTTTAATCTTTGCAACTTCAGGGATCTTATCTATGCACAATCAGCTTGTAACACTCCAAAGAGAAAGGAAAACTTGAAATCGCATCATATGACCCCTTTAATGATCCTAAATGTGGCCGTACAACAATTTCCAAAATGTTCCTATAAATGAATTATAAAACATCCATACGCACAAAAGATTTTAATTATCTTAAATTCAAGTGCAATATGAACAAGCTTATAAACTCCATCTATAGAATGCCCACAAATATAGCCCTTTATATGTAAAAAGTACAGTATGTATATGATTTTTATGAAATCAAATATTATTCATGAAATAATTTTAGTGACAATTATCACAAAAGAGGTTGCTCATTTACGCATATAACGATATTAATTCAGACTGTGATTGTCTATTTATTTTCAAATAAATCTGATTAAATGAGGCCCAGGTCTTTTTCCCTCTCAATAGCCATTGCATGCTGAATCGGAATCTTGAATTGTTTTTGATTTTCTTACTTCAATATTTTGACATTCTGAGTTCCTGTGGGGGACATTCTGTTCTGTGGGACCTTCAAATGTTGTGTGTACATTGGGGGGGGGCTTCGAGACAAAGGTTGAGAACCTCTGCTTTAAGTGATACATTTGACAATTTACCCTCACAGAATGTAGTATAGAATTACATATTACATAATAGAGAGACATGTAATGTTTACCTGTGCAGCTGTTTGAACGCAGCCACTTTCACCCACAGACACAAACATCAGTGTTATGACGTCAACTCCCTGACAAAGTTGATGGTGCCGTGACGCACTCAAATGATGCATCAAAGGCAGCGAGACGCACACGTAATCTCGACATAAGACTCTCGGCTCCTCTGATACAAAGACTCACCTCTCACATCTCCTCTGATACCTGGCAGCCCGTTAACATCTCCCAGCTCTGTGTTCACCGTTTCACACAACATCAAACAGAGAGAGTGTGCGACTGGAGCGAGGGAGGAGAGCAAAAGAGAAGCCGAGAAGCCTCTGAGGGGGATTTTTCTCTTCTGACTTCAATGCTAGGGCTTTTGTGTGTGAGGGGTGCAGTAGTACACTCATCTGTCAGAGAGACTGGCGCTGTGATAGGGTTGCACCCCGCGGGGGCCCTGAGGTCATCGTGAGCGGCTGATCTCTAATAGGTGTGATCCTCCACTGGCCCGAAGGGGGAACCAGGTAAACCTCTGGCCCACAAGACAGCATCTATGCCAGCGCTGCCTGTCAGGCAGCATATCTCATCAGAAAAGCATGGAATACTGTCTTTGCACACTCAGGGCAGCTGCTTCAGTTCACAGGTTC